TGATTAAGTCCGCACGAAGCGCGTACTCCTGGTACTCTGGTAAACTTAAAATGTCCCCGCGAAGCTCCGGGTCCGTGACGTACCTCTCAGGCCTACGAGCAAACATCCACATTTTTACACCGCGGCCTTCATCGACCACGAACCTGCGACCAAGGTACTTCCGAAGGAAGTCGTTTAGCGTCATTTGTCCTGTAGCATCTACTCCCGCCAGCAAGACTTCCTCCACGGTACTGTGAAGGGTCCACCGTTTTTCCGCAGGTGCTTCTTCCACCCTTCGGCGCTGTGCAGGAGGTGCTGTGGAAACGCCGCTGTCGGGTTCCGCCCTTGCATGCCGCGGGGGCAGAGGCACATTAGTGACGGGGCTCTCCTCAGCACGCGCCCTCGTTCGCTTTGGAGGCATTTCTTTCCTTGCTTGTTTTACTTATTTACTTGTGGTTGTTGTTGGCTTGAGCTGCAGCCGAACACCAACCACCAGCCAAAAGGAGAATGAGAGGCAGAAAGAAAAAAGGCACACAGACACACACACTCAAGCAAGAGAACCACCGCGACTGCAAGTGGGAGCCCCACGCACTCATCGGCAGAGTGTTGGGGAGAGTCAGCGACAACAGCAACAGCGTGGCGGGTGTGGGGGGTTGCCGCCCGTGCACTCCGCTCTCCACGTCACCGCACACACACACGCACACGGAAGCCCCCAGAGCCAATGACACAAAGAGCAACCACCAAAAAAAAAGGATCCCACTGCGCCACACGCACCAGCACTAGTCTTCAGACAGAAGAACGAAGAAAGGCACGACACCGCAAAGGCAACTCTCGTTCCCCACTCCACCGCAGAATTCTCACTGCGCCGGCCACTGCTGCAGGTAGACGGGAACTCGTCCACGCCGTCGCGCCCCCCGCCACCGACCCGTGGCCCTCGCCCGCAGTCGCGTCGCGTCGCGGGGCCTCTGGCGCCCACTTCCCGAATGGGGCCTCGCACCAAAGGGGGAAAAGGGAACACGTAGCAGAGTTTACCCCCTAACCCTCTCACTGGGGCGCAAAAAACCCACCGAGTTCCACAATTGCAACGCCCCGCGCCCCAAACAAATGAAGAGAAGCGCACCTTGAGAAGAGAAAAAGAAGTAGTCTCCCCAAACCATTCAGCTTCTCCTCTTTTTTCATTTTTCTAACCGACCAAACACGCATGTGTTGCGAGATGCAACACCACCCGCAGCACTTCGGTGGAGGTAGTGCACCCCACGCACGCACTAACCGCCGAAGGAGACCCTCCCAAACGCACTCGCCCAAGAGGCAACGTCGCCGCACCCCCTCCCGCTGCGTTGGCGCCGACCACACTGTTTCCCCGCCGCCCCCCTCCCATCGCACGGTGCACGGCCGCAGGCCGGACGTACCCCGGGGGAAACACACGAATGTGCGGCACCTTTCATCGGCCTCAGCACCCCACGAACGGCAGAGCCATGGAGTCCAACTGCTCGTCAGGGAGCGAAAGTGAAAAGGGAAATGATGCGCAAGCGAATGCGCACGATGCAGCAGGAAGAGACCGTGAGCACGTCCGCACTCTCCGTGGAGCCCATCCCGAGTGCTGTGCAGATTCGTCCCTGTGGCGAAGGGGGACGAGAGCAGTGGGAGGGAAACAAACAGCAGGAGACACGGAGCGGATAAAAAGGGGCGCGATCGGAAAGCGTGCCAACGGGTCACCCATCACGCTCGCCGCCGCAGCCCCAAACCCCCCGCACACGCAGAGAAATAATAACAACAACAACAAATCAACCAGGCCAGCATCGTCGGCACCACCGCAACGAAGAACAACAAAGGCACCCCCAAGGGGAAAAAAAATAATAACAATAGTGGTGGGAACAGTCAGAAGTTCCATCGCCAGCGTTGCGATGCACAAAAGCGTGGGGCCTTTCCTCCGAGTTTGTGGCACGAGCACGACGCAAGAGAAACCTCCAACGCAGTTCAAGGCAACGAATGCAGGGAATCTGCGAGCACAGACGCAGACGGTGGGTGCCTCTCACCGCATTCGCCACCACACGCTGCCTCACACTACTCCACACAGACACATACTGACAGATGCGCGCCGCGGAATAGGCGAACACGCACCGACGCCGCCCTTGCCGCGACGCTGACAGCAGGTGCGGTCATTCGCCGCAGCAGAAGCCTCCGAACCGTGGCAGGGAAAATACGCCCGCGGTGATCGAGGACGC